TACAACATTTGACAATATTCTCCATAAGAATAACATGGGAATTTTAAATTTACAATTTTTTTAATTTTCTCCGTTACTAATAATCAAACAAAAATACTTTAATATACTAAATTATTTGTTTTTTTAAGCTCTTTAAAAAGGTCTAAAGAGAAATCGGGAAATTTTGTGTTTTGAGGGTCAAAAGTGAGAAAACCAATTTTGACCCCATAAAACCCCCCGTAAAGCCCCGTTCCCATGGTCCGACCGTGCTGGTTCGCGAACTCATTCAAGTTTATCCCGCTTTACACCTTTAAACCAAATTTCATCAAAATCGGACAAAAATTACTAAAGTTATCGCGTTCACGGACGTATATATATATATATAAAAGTCTATATATATATATGTCTATATATATATATAAGTCTATATATATATATATAAGTCTATATATATATATAAGTCTATATATATATATATGTCTATATATATATAAGTCTATATATATATATATATATATATAAAAATTTGAAGGAATGGTGTTTTTGGCCTCTGGGGACATCAAAATGAAAAAGTAAATCGGTCCCGGGTCTAGGTCTTGCCGTGCCACCTACGGTAATAGCTACTTCCCTATAGGGAAATTCGCTAAAAGAGAAAGAATATAGACCAGTCCTATAAGGAGGAGTACTAAACTTGGCTAAAGGGTGTCCTGTCCCAACTATAACATTCACAAATATATTAATAAATATTTTCCCTCGCAGAGCCAGTAGGGGTGAAAGCACCAACTTTTCCAACTGAAAACTCAATCTCAACTCTAAAAAGACCAGTTCATTCAAGTTTCGCTTTACTTTGTCAAGCCCAAGCATTCCCTGTTCCTTTAACAAGGTAGGTTAGAATGTACTCATCATTGACATATTACATAAGAGGAAAACTAAGGTACCTTATCCCAAAATTGTAGACCTAATAATGTAGTTTGGATTTTATTTCGATTTTACCACTCCAACAGAACCAGTCGGTGTAAAAGCTCCAACCTTTTCCACTGAAACGTCGATTTCGTCTCTTAAACGTCAAGTTGGTACAAGCTTTGCTTTACTATGTCAAGCCCAGGCTTTCCCAGTTCCTCTGTCTAGGTAAGTTAGGGTTAAGAAGTTGCAATATAAAAATACAAAACATGCTCATATTTAGTTTTTTAAGTCAAAGAGTAAGTGGATTCCTAGATTCTAACCTATAAACTAAATATGTCACAAGGAGCATTTTTTCAATCTAATCATTTTTTTAACAGAGATTTCAAATATTTTATAACTTTTCTCATATATGTTTTTATTTTCTATTTCACACTGAGCGTGATGCAATGTCACATGGGCAGGTGTGAATTGTTCCAAAATGTTGACAACAGCCAGTTTCGTGTTTCCAAATTTCCATCTCATTCTAACGGTGTTCACACTAAATGCGCAACTTGCATCACGCTTCCGTTGTTTGCTGACGGTAAAGTTTGGTTTTGTCTGTGCAGAGCTGACGAGAGTTGCTAAGGGGTAGAGGCCGTCTTCCCTCTTCCTCAGTTCAGGTAATTTCCCCACATAACTCTGCACTCTCGCCCCATTCTCACCCCATTGCATTCATAAATAAATGTGCTTCTTAGACTAGTAGCCTGGCCTGTTGTCAACATTGGGACATCTTAGTTGTTCGATCATCCAGCTCATTTCGCTTGAAGTAAGTTTTAAGATTGCGGGAAGATGTACAATGTAGAAAAAAAGTTCTTCTTCAAAAGTTGATTTGGTCTAGCTACTTGAGATTATGAGAAAACTTTGAAATACGCTATCATCCTTACATATCAGGTGTCCCACAAAGGGGATGTTGTTTTCAAAATAATACATCAGAGGTATCAAATTGAAACTACAAAAACAATAGTTACAATAAATAATTTGGAATAAAAAAGGAGTTTTTTAAAAGTAATTTTATTTGCAATACCATAAAGTTTTTTTTTTTCAATTTGTTATACGATTTTACATAAATAAATAAATAGTAGGAAATTAAAAGGGACAGGAATGTTTAAATCATAAATGCAATCAATTGTATTCATAACCCTTTATTCAAAATGTCCATATATCGTTATGCGCTATGTACTGATTGGTATTGAGGGTTTTTGTGCTAATTCTTCTGTTATTTTTTACTCCGCCATTTAGTTTTAAATTTGCTGTGTTTAAATTATCATTTAGTGTTGGATATGTCTGATATATTAATTAAAAAACATCAAACTCTTTGTTGGACACCCTATAAATAACTTGCCTGAAAATATTAGAGAGCTTGCAGTAATAGTAATATTTTATCATTTACCCTTGCAATCTTAATGTAAAGTCAAGTTGTCTGGATGTTGATAAAACCTTGAATCAGCAACTTAAAAGTGCTTTAAAGAATATCTGTAAGTTAACAATTTAACATGATTGAATGAATGGTTTATTCCACAAAAAAATCCTACATTAAACAAATGTGAAAATTTTTTGAAATAACTATAAGTTTTAACAAACATAAAGTAACACATAAATATACAGAGGAAAATAATTATTAAAATGTGAACTTAATGTTGAATAATAAAAACTAACAAAACAGACGGAATAGTATATTTCATCACTAGAACATAAAGTTACTCATTTTAACCCAAGTTTGGCAAATGAGTTAGAAATGAAAGGCACTTTTTGCTTATGTGATATTTTTCTTTATTTACCAATACTGTATAAAAAAAACTGCAATAAGTTTCAAAACAAAATACTTTTAATGAAAAGATAACCCCTCAAAACGACTTCTAACCTACTTTCAATTTTGCTATTGCAAACAAGCAGCTGTTTAGTTAGCGATTCAATTATTTTTCATCACTGTATTTTAAAATAGCCCATTTCCATACAGCTGAGATTTTCGAAAATCTTCAATTTCCATACACCAAAAACAAATAGTGATCAGCTGACTTTTCCTGACATTAACATTACTTTAGCTACATAAAAATTACTTTCGCCACACAAAAAATTCTTTACCTGGCATCAAAGCTAGGTTTGAATTTTTTTAAGTTTGATGAAGTAGTTTTTTATCATCGTGATAAAAAGTATCATTCAAGTCTATTTCGGGGCTCACTTTTGTGACTAGTAGTGAAATATACTATTGTATATTATACAATTATGTTACTAGTAGTGTACATTATACTGTTGATACGTCGAATTATAGACACGATTGCTACAATGGGGATAAAATAATCAATACGTACTTTCGATACATACAATTGCTTATAATCAAAGACTACGGTTGATTTTTGATCCCTAGATAGAAAAATAGCTACTTTGGACCCGCAATGCATGTATTAAAAGCAGTTGTTTTTGCTGCAGTACCGGTATGATGAAAATAAACTTCATAGGTTTGTAGGCTCAAACCAATATCCACATTACTTTAGGCTAGGCCTTGAGAGTCGTGGCTTTTTCATTTGGATAAAATCTATTGGTGATTGGCGGGATTTGAATTTGAACCTTAGACCTCTAGCAGATCAGCTCACTCCCTCTATAGCATACAGGGTAAGCAAAAAGCTCAAAATGTGGCATCCAAAATTTCCCTATGTGGCTTTCATGCTCAGATCTGCTTGATCAATTAATTGGTAACTCTTTTGCTGTTTATTTGAATATAATATTTCCGTTACAACTCACAACAGTTTTTCCCACCAAACAATATTCAGGCTTCACAGTTTCACACACAATTTCAATAGAATTAATTTAAATAATCCCTAACTTATTTCAGAACCCACTAATAACATAGCTCCTAAATCCCCTGGTCATAAGTATGAGGGAGGTATGATCATGTATAGCAGAGAGAATGCTTCTGTATATCTGATGTGTCAAGTGACAGGTTACCCAGTCCCTAGATACAGGTAAACATGTTAATTGGAGGTAGATCTTGATTGGTTAGCATTAGGTCATTGTTCTAAAACTTAAAAGATGCTACAGATTTGTGTGGAAGGAGATTTATTATAGACAGATTAAATAGGCTCCAAACCAACAGGTCACGATATCATTTAGGAAATTACCATTGGTGATAGGCAGGATTTGAACCCAGGACAGAAATCCTCTAATCTAGAAATTCAATTGTAACAACCAGCCATGCTGGTCTAAAATATAAACAGGTTCCTACCAGCAAAAGGAATTGGAAAGAAATTTTAAACATTTGGACTTTTTGTGGAGAAAAGATAATAGATTCTCCTGCACATATAACTGTAACGTAGTGATGGCATAAAATCGGTAAAATCTTGAATAGTATCAAACCTCTGGCATACACACACATTTTAGGGGCTGTATCTCTTACTCTTGGAAAGTGTTTGTGGTTCTTACTTATAAAATGCCACTGGTGTAGACGCTAAACATTTTAGTTCGCTCAAATATTAGTGTGATTACACAATTGTTTCTGAACTTAAGAAACCTCTTGAAATATACCCCAGAGAGGTATAAGTTAAATTTAGTTTAAAAACCGTCTTGTGGTCAGAACGTTTGACTTTACATTCTGTAAAATAAATCAACAGGATTCTATAATTAGCAGAGATGATAGCCTTACAGTACTTACAAATATGAATACTTTTGCTGTGACTTTTAAGTAACCAACTAAAATATTTCCTCCGTGTATCTATTCTAGTTTTAGTTTATTTTCATTATATAATCCAACCATCTACAGTTCAGGCTTCAAGTAAGGTTATGCTATTAACTCAAATCCACTTAAAAACCAAACAACTAACAAACAAAACATTTCAGAGCCTACAAATAACATTGCTCCTAAAGTACCAGGCGAGCGGTACGATGGTGGCCGAATAGTGTCTTCAGTAAAATCTTCCACTATATATCTAATGTGCCAGGTTGTTGGATATCCAGTTCCTAGATACAGGTCTGTACATTTTGTTATCCTTCAATAAAGACATAAAAATAAAACATTCAGGCTTCAAAAAATGTTATAGTGTTCAAATGTACAAGGTGATCTATACGATAGAAAATTTCAATTTCAGAACCAACAAGTAACATTGCCCCAAAAGTTCCTGGCAAAAAGTACGAAGGAGGGGAAATAGTGTCTCCTTCCAAAGACTCTACAGTGTACCTAACTTGCCATGTGGTAGGGTACCCTGTGCCTAGATATAGGTAAGGTCATGTAACAGAGTCGGGGATATAATTTACTTGTAATTACTTGTCTACATCATGCACCAGAACAGAAACTAAACTTTGTACTCAGCATTCAGGCTTTTATATTTATTAAAAATAGGTATTTACCTTCGTCTACAGCTCAATCTGTTGTAACTTGAGTTACGGCCGTTTCGGCATTATAATGCCATCGTCAGACGTTGAACATTCAGCTTAAGTAGCGCCGTCATAGTTGAAACACATAACACGAACACGAATAACATTTTACAATTAATAACGAAGACACAACGAACAGGCCTGTCGCACACACGGTACCGGTTGACATTGCCACGATCCTAACTGGATGCCGACTAGAGGTTAATCCTGCATCGTTCTTTGCGTAGTGGTGTTATCAGCTGACCTTTGTACTCCTGCCTTTTGTCTCTTGTCCTGGTCTAAAATACTATTGAAAATGATGTGTGATTTATATTGTAGTTTGTCATTTAATATTGTGTCATCAAAATTATTTTCTGTATAGGCTCTGTAAATTTCGTATTCTTCTAATGTGTCCAATTTATTTCCTTTCTTGCTTGTGTGGAGTATATCGAGGCCAGTGTTCAGATCATACATGTCATGGTTTTTGTCAACCAGGTGTTGAGCAAAGGATGATTTTTGTTTGTCGGCTCTTGGACATGGGTGATGTTCTTTGTACCTGGTTCCGAATGTCCGTCCAGTTTTTCCTATATAAAAGCTCGGGCAACTAGCACATTTAATTTTGTAGGGTAGAGTGGGGGAATTGGGACCCATGTTTTTATTTTTTTCAATTATATGTTTATTGTTAGAAAAAATCAAAATATGAGCATGCACAAGGTTTCCAACTGTAATTTGTCTTCTTATCACATTGTTTTTCATTTTTTTAAATAAATTTTACTATGAAAAAAAATAAATATTAATTTGGAACCCAATTACCCCACATGGGGTAATTGGGACCTATGCTTATAAACCCATAAGCACCTAATATTAATTTGTGGGGGTAATAGGGTTCTGAAAATGAAAACATAATAAACAAAATGCAACATACTTTTATTGGAAAATTTTTTTTTTAGGACACTAGAACGGTTCAAACTATTTTTTCCAAAACATTACACTTTTTTCTAAATAAAATAGGAAAAATTAACCAGAGCAGATAACAGCCAGAAAATATAGATTTAAACTGTTAAAGACATGTATAGTTAGATAAAAAAAAAAACTACAAGTATATTTTATGTCGAACTTCTTCTCTGGTCATATGCAAACTTTCCGGAATTTCGCTTTTTCAGCCGAAAGAATTTCTAATAAATGGTTGTTATCAGTCCAATTATAAGTTAAAACAGGCCAATTATTGGCTTAGCTCACTCTTTTAGGCCCTATTTTTTTATCAAGTGGTTGTAAAATAAATTTTTCACTTTTCTGTACATCTGTGATTCTAAACCGATGTAACCACGCGATGAGACTGGTTCCCAATTACTCCATGCTGGGGTAATTGGGACCTACTTCAAAATTCTGTTTTTACACATAATACATGATAATCACCACTGCAGCCACATTTAATTATTGATTAATTATATGTGGGATTAATTATAATATTAATATTAATTATATATGGGATAAAAAAATATGGGTCCCATTTCCCCACACCGGGGTAATTGGGACCCATTTTTTTTTTAAATTTATAAAATTAATTTATAATTTTTTTTTAAATTTTAAAGCCCTAACAAACTATTGCTTAAACCTTTAATGTGTCAAAAAATACACTTTGGTATGATTATTAATTCATATAATATATAAAAAATAGCTCGAAATACTACCACGCTGAAGTTTTGCCATATGTTTAACATTCGGGAAAAAACACGGCTTAATTTTTTAATTTTTTTTATACATTAAACACAAGATTACAATTATCCAATAATTTTTGATGAAACCCCTTTAGAATGCCTAAACTTTAACGTATTTACAATTTTGTTAAAAAAATAAATAATACAAAATTTAAAAAAATAGCTCCCAATTACCCCCGGGTCCCAATTCCCCCACTCTACCCTATACACCTGACTTCTCACTTTTGCCGATTACACGATCAGAAACGTTTAATTTATTAATTGTCTTGTTGTTGGTCTTGAACGCCAATTCGATACCATGTTTTTTCAATTCTTTCGTAAGTGAGTACTGAATTGAATGTGAGTACTCTACACACACATACTTCTTCTTTTGTGGTTGGATGTCTCTAGACTTTTTGTTTTTCATCTTACTTAATAACCTGTCAATCATATTGCTGTTGTACCCATTAGATAGTGCTACGTTGAATGTTCAACGTCTGACGATGGCATTATAATGCCGAAACGGCCGTAACTCAAGTTACAACAGATTGAGCTGTAGACGAAGGTAAATACCTATTTTTAATTAACATCACAGCTCAGGGGCTAAAAATGGATTCTAACTTTTATATTTGCTATGTTTTCTACTGATAGTGATTAGGTTTTATTTTAATCAACAGCACCAACAAATAATATAAAACCCCGATTCTCCGGCTTGCAAATCGAGGGAAGTCTTGTACAGAAGGTCCAGGAAAAAAAGGCAGCCGTAATATTGTGCGATGTCTCGGCATTTCCAATACCATTTTTCAGGTAATTTAAAAAAATGTTGTGACATATTTCTTTGTAACTCCCAGACCATTCTCCAAGTTTCATTGTAAATTTAGCTGTGTTTAGATTTTCATATGGTCTCAAAGACTTTAGAACATAAGACCAAACCTTTTATCTTTCCTGGGACCTCAGTCTCTACCCAACATTCAGTAGTATTTTTTAAATAATGAAAATAAACAAACTTTTTGTATTATTGCCATACTAATAGATGTTTGAGTAATTAAACTTTATAAAAATAATTCTTGCAGAACCTATTTCCAACATCATTCCACGAGTATCCAAGGAAAGATTTGAGGGCAATATACTCTACTCTGGCTCCACAGCAACATTGCTATGTCCTGGACAAGGTTTCCCTGCGCCATTTTTTAAGTAAAGTTACAAAATAATGTTATTACCTTTTTTTACGTACGTCATACAGTCTTGATATTTATAAATTACTTCTAAATCATTCTTTGATCAGCACTGGTACAGTAGAATCCGATATTTTTATATTTGGTTTATTAGATTCTCCTTTATTTGTAGTCTTATCAAAATAACAAAAATCAAAAGTAATAATGACAAAGAAAAGTCAACTTGAGGACGTTCCATCTGTTCCCAGTGTAGCTTAAAGGATCTCAAGACAAACCATGTATAGGTACTACTGCTCTGATTCAGTTGAGTTGGTAGCATCTTCATAGGCTTTAATAACTTTGGTAGGGCTTTGCTTTACTAACATGTTTTTCCAACAAAAGAATAAAATGAGATTTGTGTCTCTTTAAACAGGAGTAATGAATTCTCAATGTTAATTTGATTTGAATTGCCTTTTTCAATTTTGTTTTATCCAGTATAGCTTCAGTTTCAATGTGACCTTGAGGAAAATAAAGAATTATTTTTTTGTTTCGGGGTTGAGAACAGAACAGTTCTAAGCAAATATTATTAAAATTTTCCATTATTATTACTAGAGAAAATTACATTACGGAGCCGCACACCATTTCCATCCTACCATTCAGGCTGGGTAGTTGTAGTATGTACTCATCAAGGTAAGTTTTTTTTTTACATAGAGCCTACTAGTAGTACAGCACCAAGAGTGTCCGAGGGAAGGCTTCATGAAAAAGTGTTGAAAGCCCAGTCTAAAGGCGCACTCTTGTGTCTTTGCCAGGGGTATCCACTGCCTAGTTTCAGGTATTTTAGAAAAATTTATCTCATGATTCCATTAGTGTTAAGGATTGTCTAGTAGCCACATTTTAAAAGCTTTTCAGGTAAATTAAAAGTTTATTTACTGTAAGTTTTTATTTTTAAGGAATTTAACTTGAGTCAGCCGCTTTCCTAGCGATAAACTATTGCATATGACTCCAAACTGCATATAAAAGTATCCAAACATTCTAATTTATATGAAAAAAAAATTTATTTTAAATAAAGTAGGTACATACATTGAAGCTTAAAATAAAATTCTTTCCTTCAAAATTTGTTTGGAGAAAAGTTACCGATGTTTGTAAAAGAAAAAACAGTTAGTTTTGTACCTTCCTTTAATTTACTGCAGGCAAATATTTTGATGTAGTTAAATAATTAAGTCAACTGTCTTATTTTTGAAGAATGTTAAAACAAAAATGACACTTGTGGTCTCTTAAATTCTATGACTGTCTTTTGAAATGTGGCTACAAAGCAACTTTCAACGACTCACAAATCCTCTTTAGGCTTCAACCAAGGTACGTAAAAAATTAATAGCCTTAATAATTAGTTCATCTTTAAAAAAAATGCTAGTTGAATAGAAAATTGTCAGGCATATCAATTGCAATCAAATGAAATTGGCTTTATCTGAGTCCAACCCCAGGTTACTAAAAGCAGTATTGATGTGATACAAGTAGTAGAAGACGCAACATTTGTAGGGCGTTGCCCAGGTCAAGGGTTGGCTGTGAAAACTACATGTATAGGTGCTTTGTCATGATTTCTTAAAAATTGTTATGCCGAGTCCTTAATTATTCTAAAACGTAAAGTAGTTCCTAAGATGTTGAACACAGTTTAAAATTTAGTGCTAAAATACAACATATACAAACATTGTCCTTGTTGTCATCTGGTTATTAGAAGTAAGAGGGTTAAAACCACGTGGAAGGAATGGGGTTACATTCAAAATAAACATTTTTTATTTAAATACACCCCTTGCTCCCCCTCTCCCAAACAATTACAATTTTAATTTATTGTTAAATAGGTACATAGTGTACAAATTATGTTTGACTCGAGAAATACGTTGGTCTGAAGAAATATAATGACTCTTAGTGTAGTCTAAAAACACCCCCCTTTAGGCTGAACTTTTGTTTACTAGAACCAGAAACTGAATCATGATCTGGAACAAGTAAATTTCCAGCCGCTTTGTTAAATACTTTTTAAACAGTAAAAGGTATTGTACACTTCGATCAAAGGCTATTAATCCTAAATATTGTCAGCTCAAAGAGCAGGTGTTCTTGTATCACAACTACAATGAAACAAAGGACTGAGACAATCATTGCGCAAAGTATAAACAAACAACTTGGATAGTTAGATTTATATCTTATGAGATAATATCTGGGAGATTTATCTATGAGATTTATTTGTGATAATATATGGGGGGTTTATATGAGAGATAAAGTTCTGTGTTCAGCCCTTTTAATACTTTTGTGACCAGTAAGCATTGAGTAAAATAGAAATGTAGCATAATAGACTATATTTAGTCGTTTAAAGTTAAATTGAATGGCAAAAAATGTGTTCAGTATTTTTTAAAAATTTGTACAGCAAAATAAAAATTTGTTTAGGTGTACACTCCCAAAAAACTTGTAATAGGATTGAGCTATATTGGAAATCAATAAAGAGGGTATTAGTTTACACATTTGATTAAATTTCAATAAAGAAAATATAATTTGTATTCAAGTTATCTTGTCTGAGGATAAACCTATGGAAATATTTTTTGTATCAATCTTAAACAGAGACTTTAGTTTGATCATATTCCAGGGTTTAGTTTAGTTTTAACTTTAAGTCATAAGTATTTTATTGCATAAAACATTTTAGTAACCAATTTCGTTAACCACATAAGTTCAAGGCAATATGTATATCTTTTGATGCAGTGCAACATGCATCTTTCAATTAAAAATTAATTTTACTCCCAATCCAGATGAAATTTTCTTTTTGTCAACAAACAAAAGCAAGTACTGTAGGTATTTCATTTCAACATGTCAAATACATTTTTAATTTGTCAGACCACATAGTACTTTTTTGCATCCTGAATACCAAAATGGTTGAATATATTGCTGTGCACAGGTAATAATTGCATTTTTTTTAAAAACACCCTTCTCTATCTTTATTGTCTGTGGTAATATGATTGACTTTTAATACCAAAATCTGAAGTATCCACTCGCAACTAAAATTGCCTTGAGCATATGTAACGATGCCTAACAGTATTGTTCATGTTTGGCTTTGTTTCAGGTGGTACAAATTTATTGATGGAACGTCAAGAAAGCAAGCAGTTGTTATGGATGACAGAGTGAAACAAGTATCCGGGACCCTCATAATCAGGGAAGCAAAGGTAAAAGTGACCTAGTATTATTTTTATTATTTTTATGTTTATTTTTTAGTATTATTTTACTTGGGGAAGTTTTGCCTACAAATATCAGTAGAAGAAAATACAAACCTCAAGTTATGAGCTACAATTAGAAACGATTACAATATTAAATTAGACAAAGAGGTTATTGCAGACCATTGTAAAAAGTATCAAGAAAAACTTGAAGATCACCCAAACAGTCTGGTCGTTAATCTGCTGGACAACAGTGAGTGTGTTAACAGTAGCTTTTTGGTGGTTCGAAACTGGACCCAGCTGTTCCTGATCATTGGGCTTGAAATAAATGATGACTAATGAAACCGCTGATCTTAGTCAGTAACAAAGCTACACAGGTCATCACACACCATTATGATTATACACTCATCCTTCACTCATATTTGGGTTAAAATACGCACCTAGGTAGCGTCCCCATCTCAATGATTGATAATTGAATTGATTGATTGAAAAGTGTTCTTCACGTGTTGGACCAATTTTGTTGTTCAAAATACATATTTGATTATTCGATTGACAGGTGCTTGCTCTCTGCCATTTTTTGTTAGGTATGTTACTAATTGTTCTAAGAATTGATTGAACAGATTCTAAAATAAATTTAGTAAAAAAATTGGATTACAGTATTTTATTACTACCTGATGCAAAAATGATTTAATTATATCTCAAAGATGGGGACTCATCTAGGGTATATTCTTTTAACCTATACAACCAACCAAGAGTGAAAGAAATTAACAATACAGTAGAGTCCCGCAAACTCGGCACTTGATAACCCGGCAGTCTGGATAACTCGGCCATCACCTGGCTCAGAAAATTAGTGATTTTTTGAGTCCGAGTTAAACATGGACTCAAGTCCGAGTTAAACATGGACTCAAGTCCGAGTTAAACATGGACTCAAGTCCGAGTTAAACATGGACTCAAGCCAGCTCAAGTCAAATCATTCTCAGCTCGTACAAATGATTTGTTTTACTATATCTGATGACTTAATACTAACTTGTAATATAAATATAAATTAAAGAAGTAGTTAATAAGATTAAAAATTGTATTGTTCTTGTTTTTAACCCTAGTTCCTGATAACACAGCACTTCACAAACTCGGCACCCTTCCAGTCCACATTACGCCGAGTTTGCGGGACTCTACTGTATTGTAATTGCAACATTGTTGTTGACTAAGGCTAGCAAATTCTTCAACATTGTTAATCTTATTCAAATTAAAATCAGCTACGTACAGGTGTAGTTTGAAAAAGGAAATCTAATATGACTTTATCCAGGATAAAATTAGAAATGTTTTATTAGTATCATGGTGCTTCTAGCACCAATCTTAGCACCAATCTTGGACAAACCTATGCTTCAAGGACAACTAATTGGTTCTAGGTGCCCCTTCAGCAAAACAAACGAATAATTTTGCTGCAAACATTTGATTAACATTAGAACCACCCTGTTTCTTTTTACTCATGTTCTGGACTTTTCTAGGTGGATGACTCTGGTAAATATTTGTGTGTTGTCAACAACTCCGTGGGTGGCGAGAGTGTGGAAACCGTACTCACTGTCACAGGTGAGTAATCATTCTGCAATAAATGTTAAATACTCGTGCAAACATCTTAAGTTTCGATACAATTAGCAGTAATAATTCAGTATGGTCAAAGGGTGATACTAGGATCTTTCGTTTTATACGCGCAAATGTGTTATTAACACTACAACTACAACCAGATTTAAACTCCCACTGGAGCAATATTTTTAAGTCACATCAATACTTTTGATCTTCTTCCAAGAAGGTCAAAAGCACATTCAATTGTTAATTGTTTTCCTAATAAATCCACTTTGAAAAACTGTGTTCCTACTGCAGTTCACAATTTGTACAATACGGGAACGGGAACATTAGTTGGGAACATATATACATGGTGTATATTTGAAATTTCCAGCTTTACTTTTTTCTATACTTTTAATTATTTACCTGAAAATTATGATTGACCCCTGATTTTTCCTTAAAAAAATGCACATCACTACCCTCTTTTTTAAAACTATTTTACTTTTATCATCCTACCTGTATTGTAAATACTGTGATAAAAGCATTTAAAGCTGACGACATTTTGTTTATTACAGCCCCACTGTCGGCAACTGTAGAGCCGACGACACAAACAGTGGACTTTGGTCGACCAGCAACGTTAACTTGCAACTATGAAGGGAACCCTGTGAAAACTATCGGCTGGCTGAAGGATGGAAAACCTCTAGCAGGGCATGAGGAACCTGTGCTCAAAATAGGTAAATAGACTAGACAAAAATGTTGAGGAAGAAATATCTTACTTTTAAGCTGTAGGTTAACCTACGGTACACAAAAATTGACATCATCAGAGGTCTCAATATGGTCATTTAGGAACTTTGGTAGACATTTTATCAGTTTGAATCCCCTGTAGACAATTTTGTTGTTTAGTGGATTTCCATCATTTCAATAGTTAAGCTTCTGGTTCTGTCTTACAGTGGAGAATAAACTAGAACACAACCTAGATTGGGTAGTATAGGAAAATACAATAGATGAAAACCAAGAAAATATTTAGAGCAGTCTAATGAATAAAGTAAACAAAAATGTGAATAAGTTGGTGAATCCAGAAAATATTTATCAACAATAGTCCACTCAGCAACATAATATTTCAACTGCACAGTCTAAAGATTCCATGTTTTAGTGAGAGGTTCCATAGATGAATCAGTTAGACAGAGATATATTTGTAAGGCTTGTGGGAGGAAGGTTGTGATAGTTTGGCTCGGACAGTGAGAAGGGTTCCTTATACAACTCCTAGATTAGTGCGAGGTTATCACATTCTCCTTGAGTGTGCAAATAATATCATTTGACGTCACTTTTCAACATATTATCAAGCCCACCAAATAGGAGTGGTCCTAGGAGTGTTATTTATTTGTGAGATTTATTTTGTTTTGTATTGCAGATTCTGTACGCAAGGAAGACAAAGGCATGTACCAGTGTTTTGTTCGCAATGAACAAGAGAGCGCACAAGCCAGTGCGGAACTCAAGCTAGGAGGACGATGTGAGTTGTTAAATTTATCACATTGATTCCATAACTCATGATTTTTGTTAAATTTTATGATGTTAAACTCTAGTCCACCCTTGATTTTTCTTTTTTCGTAAGGATCAATTTAGATTTTATGGTTTATTTCAGAATGGTAATCGTTAGTTTAATCGTATTATTTTATTATATGTTGAACAAGTAAATTCAAGTCAAATATTTTAGTTTCCAACTGTTCATGGCCTTAGCCAGATGTGATTACTTTTATTTTTCGTCAATTGTAAGGAATTTCAGAGCGTTTGTTGAACACAGATGAGTCTCAACCATTAGAAACCCGCCTGTATAAAAATATTGTGATTCAACTATCACAATACTTAACTTAATGAACATAATCCTCTAGCAAATTAAACATTAACATACTGAATAAAGGATTACTAATAATACTGCAGGAACGCAGCATCTCTAAGCATCGTTAGAGTTTTGTTTTTTACTTTCTGTAGCTAGTTGTGATTCTTCACACATATTTCATATTATTATTCTTGTTGTATTGGATTAGTACTGTTACTTATCAAGTTCAATTTAATGTTTCAGTCGAACCTCCTCAAATAAAACACGCGTTCAGTGAAGAAACAATGCAGCCTGGACCATCTGTGTTTCTCAAGTGTATTGCCACTGGAAACCCTTCACCGGAGATTACGTGGGAACTCGACTCCAAGAAACTTGCCAATACTGACAGGTGAGCTAGTCAATGAACAAAGCTAATGAAGTAAAGTACCTAATCATGCTAAGCAGTTGGGTGTGCATAGTAAAACGACAAATTAACCGTGAAAGGGGAATGAAAATTATTGAAGTGGTTATAGAGGTAGCCTGTATAAATAAACGTTGGTTTAATTATTGGATGATAGGGACAAACATATGACCCTTGTGGGTGTTTAGCTAACTTTTGAAAAGTATACAATATACATAGTGGACATAATGATTCCCAATTAATCAGAAGGTTGCTGTTTCGATCCTGGTAAATGTTTGTAAAATGATTTGAGGCTGGATTCAGCTGTCATTGATAATTTGCTTGGTTATTAGTGTTAGTTTTAATAAAGTTAATTGTCTTAGGACATCTGTGTCAAGTTTAGGGCTTCTCCTAATAATTGAAATTAAATGCAAATCGAGAAGATGAGGTTATAATGCGTAGAGCAATTCAAATTAAAAAAAACATTGAACTAAGAAGATATCAAGATATCCATAGAGTAAAATAATCCTAGTCTGTAGGCTATAGATCACCTTAAATCTAGAGGCTTAACCTCTTATTTATTGTGTTGTTTGCAGTGGTAAAAATCTAAAATTTTCTGAATGGTTACAGGTTGCAAGTAGGGCAGTACGTTACTGTAAATGGTGATGTTGTTTCACACCTAAACATCTCTTCAGTTCACACCAACGACGGAGGACTTTACAAGTGTATTGCAACCAGCAAGGTATAGCAGATAAACAACAACAGATGAGAGTATAGCAGTGATAAATAGTTTATAGATTTGATTGAAATTTTCTTACATTTTGAACATGGATTTTATATTTTTTACAAAACCTAGAAAGTTTTGTGCATATTCTGGAATACATTTTTAGTTGGTGAGTGTCTTAGTAGCATTGTAGTTAGGGGCTACAGTACCAAGAGAGTAGGTTTGATCCCAAAATAGCCACATGTCCTTGAGAGGATTGTGTTGCTTTGAAAATAAGCAACTGCATTCTATTGAATTAATTTTTTATTAATTAATCATAAATTTTCAGAAAGAGCGATATTTTATGGATCATGAACTTTGAGTGAGTGAGATATACCACAAATACACTCTAAAATTATGTATTAAAATGCTTCTGGTGTAGCCACCAAACAGTGTAAATAGCATGGTCATTATTTGATATTATAAAACATTTTTTTTTTTTTTGAAATGTGTTGTTTTTTTATGGTGATCCATTAAATCAAGTAATATTTAGATTATTTTCTGATTAGACACCTTGGGACCCTTATTCAATTTAAAATAAGTCAGGACCATCAGAATTGCACTTAAAAGTGAATGGATACATTCCATAACCACACTTTCAATTATGCAAAATTAATTGAGTACCTAATATAATATAAAACACACTCTCTGAAGCTTATTAGCTTAATTTAATACATGGTTAAAACCTTGTATCAATGGTTTCTTAAAGTTACAGTCCCACTGTTCAAATAAGTGTTGACACTGTTTGCCGTATGTTTTACCTCGGTTTGTTTCTTCAGGTCGGTTCTGCCGAGCATGCAGCACGTCTCAACGTGTACGGACTTCCGTTTGTTCGACCAATGGAGAAGAAGGCAATCGTCGCTGGAGAAACCCTCGTGGTCACTTGTCCTGTGGCTGGCTACCCCATAGAGAGTATTGTCTGGGAGAGAGGTTAGTTAAAAAAAAAGGTTTTTAAAATTAATATTTAGGTTAGAGAATATTGGGGTCTTTAGAGAGAAGTAGAGGGCTGCCGCTTTCGAAATTTGCGCTATGCAAATGATGGTATGTTCCATACATGCTAATAGGTTACATTTTTCTAGATTAACTGTTGACAGTATAAATTTATTGTCCTGTTATGTGTTATGTGACGTTGATGTCTTATCACATTGTAAACTTTACCCTTCAGTAAAAGAGAAACATTAAGTCTGAATTGACACAATCAAGTATTACCAGACATAAAAAAGAAATAATAACATCTGACTCCAGACTCCACTCATGGATGATAAATTGTTTGTAACACCATTCATGAGCGTATAATTTATAGAAAATTTCACGATATGTTTCAGATCAAAGACTGTTACCGATCAATAGAAAACAAAAGGTTTTTCCCAACGGAACTTTGATCATCGAGAACGTCGAGAGGCAAAGCGATCAAGCAACGTACACTTGTGTAGCTCGGAATGCTCAAGGATATAGTGTGCGAGGAACACTTGAAGTCCAAGTAATGGGTGAGTAAAAATTGTTTTTTTAACCACACAAGAACTCCGTCTGGTCTAAAAAAAATAACTTTTAATGATAAGTGAACTCTTTTTCACAAGTCTAATTCAACATAATCATTTTGCTTTGTTGTTAACCAATTTATTTGTTTTGAAAATAATTGATATACATTTTTCACCGTGGTTCTAGTTAGGCCGATATTTTTTCTAAAATTTGGAAAATTTGAAATTGTAATTTCTTATAAGCAATAGTTTCTGTGTTTAAAAAATAAATTTAGTTTTTGTAAGAGCCTGTAATAAAGTATCAATTTTTACAACAAATATTTGATTAGACCAGATGGAGTTTAATATTAAAATAATTACAAACCAATCAACATTATACCATCTTTGGTATATCATCAATCAATTGTTTCAATTTAATGTATAACTGGTCAACAGCAGACTGAAAGACATACTTTTCTTTAAACTAAAAAAGATAGTTTTTATATCTCAGATTGGACAATTTTCTAAAGAGAATAAATAGTCTGATCTATTTATTTTAATAAAGTAATATTTCATGCTTTTCGAAAAAAAATTTTGGTAATCAAAGTCTATTTTGATCATTGAAATAAAGCTCCTATTTTTCTTGATCACAATTAATGTGGATTTGTTGATTGGTTTGAACATTTAATTAAATTGTTACATCTGTAGTTGAATATAAAATATATCACTTTCATTAGTTACAAACAAATTCTTCAAACTGTCATCAGAACTATTTAACAATTATTGTAGTTATAATATCATCAATTCAATTTAAATCATGAATTACAAACTTGTGACAAATAAAATTGAACATACTTTATTAATGTAAACTTACATCGTTAATAGAAGAAAATTCAAACAAAACAATCGTTAGATTTTAATACTGATTATTAATTTTACTCTTTCAAAAGTGATATGTTTTATACTTAAATTTCTTGACTGATAATCGTAAAAAGAAGCAATTGAAGCTGATTGCCGTATAAGGAGTCGCTGGGCAACTACTTTCATTACAACGGTAAGTTTTTTGTTTTGATGCTTGTTCAGGATTTGTTTGTTGGCACTGATCATTTGTAACGTACAATTGTCTAAAGTAGGTTAGGTAGGTTCGACTTATGTTAATCTAAGTTTGAATATTTCTACTCGAGACACATAATTGAAATAACTTATCGAAGGAGAATTAATTCTGTACCATACAGATTACCATTAAATGACCATCGACATTTATAATTTGTTATCGACCATCACATTTGTTTTATTTTCTATGCACTTTTTGATGGATTTTACTTTCATACATTTTCAAAACCCTATTTGGGAAAAAAATCGAAAAAGTTTGTGAAATCGTCGTTAATGGACTTTACTTTGTACACAGTTCTCCCTGTAATTGCTCCATTTGATTTTGATGGCCCGATGCTTGCGGGTGAAAGTGTGCAACTCAACTGTTACGTTACCAAAGCTGACAGGCCCCTGATAATCCAGTGGCACTTCAACGGCTCAGATGTCAATAACTTCGGAATTAGCACCAGCATGTTTAACGACCGCACCAATATTCTGGCGATAGAGGCTGTAGGGCCAGAACACAGCGGCGTCTACACATGCATAGCCACAAACAAAGCTGGAAGTTCTAAGTACTCGGCCATTCTGCTGGTTAACGGTCCGTAAATCTCAACTGTTGCTTTGTTGGTATGTGGGTGGATCTTGCCTTACACACTACCGTGACACAGAAATTGACAAGCGTACACAAACATAAGACAGTAAAGTCTATTGTTCATTGTTGCAATGATCAATATTATACTATCATCCACAAAAGAGTATCCTTACCTTTCTATATTATTGATAACTATAAAAACTGATGATTGTTGTATGTAGTTACATATTTAGCTACCTCACTCGTTAAAATTTCACTTTCAGATTTTTAAACTTAAAAAAACTAACACCTCAAAGTAATTATTATTTATGAAATAACTTAGAGAGACAATTTACATGCTGATAAATACAAAACAACTTAACAAGGCTCACAAGATAATCACTAGTTGCGGTGTGGCACCAAAGTGCCTTGTTTGATACAATGCGTTTACACTTTGTTTTGATGAACACAAGGGTTTCTGAACGTTGGTGGTTGAAGCACTTTCTGTTGCACTGTTCTCTGCACCCCCCACTTGCCACCCTACTCCTAGATCCTGCTAGGTCATGGGTGATGAAGTGACTGATGGAGGTGCGTCTTGTCTACTCGACTCAGTTTCAGTGTCCAAATAATATGTCTCCACTGGCGTTTCTCAAATATTTAACTCTGGTTCACTGTATCCTCTTGAAAGAAGGTTGAATGGTATATGATTGGGACCTTTTGGGTATTTGGGATCTGCGTTTGGATCTACGTATATGGTTCAAGGATTCCTCATAATGTTGGAAATATAAAGATTTTTTCTGAATATAGAAAGCTAACCATTTTTTTTTTTTTTTTGTTAACTTCTTTGTCTTAAATTCATCTATAAACAAACTCAAGATTATTACAAATCAGGCATATTCACACTTATTGATTCCTTATTTAATATTGGAAATAGCATAAACAGTTTAGGCATCCTATTATTGGAGATAATTTATTTGCCAAATATTTGTCTAGTGACCACTCATTATGTTGCAGCATGAAAGTTTAAAGGAAATTGTCTTTGTGAAATTAATACTCTATATAGACACAAAAAACTTCAAGACGTATAAATATACAGTATAGAAAACCCCAACACAATTATTTTGGATTTTTGTCAAATATTTATCAGTCTGTTTTGTGCACTTTCATGTTTTTTATTCTTTTTTTTTACCTGACAAAGTAAATAAAATGTACTTCACTTTAAAGCTTTAAATCTTCTAGCTGCCTTTACAGAATATTTTCTCTTAAACTCTATTTGTAATACAAATATAAATTTCTTAAAGTAACCAAACTTGTTTCTACAAAATGTTTAGATTCCAAATGTTTCTGATTTTTACATTTTGTTTTTTGCAAGAATGTCTCTCAATATGAAGTCACAAGTTGGTGTCATACCGACTATCGCATCTCAGTATCTTTGTTTTGTCAGTCGCTCCTGTCATCACTCCGTTCGCATTTGAAAGTTCGCCCATGAACGCCGGGGGTTTTACCATGCTGCATTGCACCGTTCCCTTGGGCGACTTACCTCTCAACATCACCTGGGCGTACCCTCGTCCTGGACTCGCCAGTGTTAGGCAGGTTGCAGACAGAATCGCCATGCTCACCATAGAGTCCTTGTCCGCGTATCACGCAGGGGACTATACATGTCACGCTTCCAACGATGCCGGAACTGCAACTCATACGGCAACTCTGCTTGTCAATGGTGCACTCAAACTCTTTTGTGTTTGCACTTAACCACTTTTTTTCTTTTTTTCTTCCCTCCCAAACTCACATTCAATGAGGGACCTTAAAACTTGTTTGTAAATACTTTTATAATGGGCAAATCTTCTGGTCGAATTTGTGACTTCAAAGATAGGTGAACTTTATTTAAACAGATTTATAATTTTAAGTAAAAATTCTTAACATATTTTATTCTCAATTACATTTTGCTAAAATGCTCTATAGGCAGGATTGATTCAATTTCTTAATCATAATATCACTACAATTTGAATAAATTAACTCAGTAAATCAATGTTTGGAAATTATTTGTTAGGTCGCTGGCAGGAACTACAGCTAATAAGGTAGACATTGCTGATACAAGACCAGTTGTTCCATTCTATCTCTTTAATCACTACTAGCTTGCCAGTGTGATCTATACGGTAACAATATGTCTCTGTCTTTAGATCACCGAACAGACTAAATATGTTGCCAAGCAGTTGAGGTTTTAAAAGCTATAAATAAACTCTCCCTGTTAAAATTGTTTGACAAAAACCATCAATTATCCATGACTAAAATAAATTAACTGATTTTTTTCTAAGCTTAATCCTCAATTACTTCACTTTGTTATAAGCACTGAGAATGTACCTGTGTTAAAGTCCCGCCGTCCATTTCGCCCTTCTCTTTCGGGGCATTGCCAATGAATGCGGGAGGTTTCGCCTTGGTCCAGTGTGCTGTAACCACCGGAGACTTGCCACTTAATATCACTTGGAGATATCCGGGCGACCATCGAGTGACGTCTGTTCAAAACTCTCAACGCCCCAAAGTTACTGTTACTAAGATGGGAGAGCGGGCCGCCATGCTGTCCATTGACGTTCTCACAGCCGAACACACAGGGAACTACACATGTATTGCAAGCAACGCAGCCTCGTCCACTTCTTACACGGCCGAGCTCCATATAAACGGTGACATTGTCACTTCAGTAGCACTGTGAAGTAGTTTGGTTGTCTTTGTCGTGTTTGTCATTATTATTTTTCTGTTTTATTTCTCACTAAAGTATTCCTGGAGGTTTTGATTTGTTAAACCTTCTTCAGCCTGTTTCCTTTCAGTTGAGGGTATATTATGTTTCTGCTGGTACAGGTTGTATATTTGAAGACTATTGGATGTGTAAATTGTGATTTAATCCAAAAACTTTTTGAGGGAGTAAGAAAAGGAGGAATAGTTGTTAGTTATTCTTGTAATTATGATAACAGCAATGAAATCATTTTTAACTTCAAAGAAGATTTTTAAACCCCAAACCCAATTAGTTGTAAATTTGATAAATACAATAATAACATTTTTTAATTACAACCTAAATTTCACCACTAAACTTTTCTTTTTGTTAACCAACCATGTTTGTAAAAGCTACAAAAAAAAACTGACATACTGTCCTTAAGAACATGTATTCGAAGAAAATAAATAAATAATCTGCAGTATGATTTATTTTCAATTTGAAATCCTGCATTCTTACCTGAAATAAAATAAATACGATTTTGACAGTTCCTCCGAAAATCTTGCCTTTCACTTTTGGTGAACGGCCGCTCAACTTTGGCCAACTAGTAACAGTTCCCTGCGCGGTGGTGGAGGGGGACGCTCCAATCACACTTCAATGGCAATTCAACGGACAAAACATCGCCCCTCGACATCGCATCACAGTGGTGCAACTTGGCGATAGGAATGTCATCCTCAGTATAGCCTCTGTTGATGAGAAACATGTCGGCAATTACTCCTGTATCGCCCGTAACCTAGCAGGGTACCATGAAATAACCGATACACTCTATGTCAATGGTAAACCACTTCGCTTCATTCATTATGCTATTTGTGACTTGTTTGTTGCACTTTTTAATTATTTCAGCAAGACATTTATTTTTTACGTTGGTTAATTTTAATCAGTTTTGGTTCATTTTCTTAATCTACTTATCAGTTTTGAATATCTTTCTCACCCTCCACTACTTCAAATCCACCTCTATTGGTATGTTTTGGCGTTTAAGGCAAACTTGGAAATAGTACGGTTTGAAAAATAATGAAACGTTTTATGTAATGTTTCTTGAGCAGCACTATGAAAGATACTGTAGTTTCTGTTTGATCATCTTTCATTTGTTCTTTTCCTTGGATGATATGTTTGATTTTTATTTCTGAAGCTATTTTCATTTGTTAAGGGAAACTTCATCTAACTGAAAAAATTTAATTTAGATTACACAGTATTCTTAGGAAGATTTTTTTACCTTATATGAGAACCTGTAAGAAGAATTTTAGCAGATAGGTAGTTTATTAAGTTAATGATTTAGTTTATTGTGTGGAATTTTCTAAAACTACTCATATTTATTTATTTACAGATAAGTAAAAATACTATTATATCCATTAAAAGAAGTACAATCAAAGATACATCTAAAATCACATTTACAGCCCAACAACACTGATTTTCATACAGACGAAAGAACTATTTTCTTAACCTAATATAACTAAATATATAACACACACAAAATAATTTTAAAGTCATTAAAGTTTTATAGGTCAGTACGCACTCACTATTGATTGTCATTGAGGTGTAAAACTAGACATGTGGTGTTAAGTTTTGCCGCACATCACTCCGTTCAGTTTTGAGGGAAAAGCCAACTCAGGCGACAGTGTTCAGTTGACTTGCTACGTGTCCAAGGGTGACATACCCCTCAGGATAGTGTGGAGTTTCCACGGTCAGTCGTTGTCCACACACATGGGCATCTCCACGACCAAGATTGGTGATAGGACGAGCCTTCTCACTATCTCATCTGTCATGGCCGGCCACGCTGGAAACTATACCTGCAGTGCTTCAAATCCCGCAGGCTATACAAACCACAGTTCCACACTTTACGTCAATGGTACATTCAGTAAAGTTTGTTTACGTCGTTTACAGATTTTTTGTTCGCTTTTGCCATATTGTTTTTACTATTTCACTGTTTCCTTACCTGTCAAATTTGCCTTTCTGTCAAGGGACTTGGTTATAAGAATTTCGGAAGTAAATAAAAATGTTGGTTATTACAGCTACAAACTAATCGTATACCATGCCAAAACTCTTGGATGCTGAAGTAAACATCCCATTTATGGACATAGTTGAATGAGCCAGTCACAGAGTGTCCTAGTGTCTAAATTTTATTTTATACTTCATGTTTTCTTACTAAGATGGTTGACCTAACATAAAAGACGTTGAAGCTTACTAAAAGTCTTCCTATCACTTGGACTTGGTTACAAAGCCTGCCTATAAAAAAAAAGTTAGTAATTCAAGTCAGCTCAATCTGCCATTGGCTCAATTCAACTACTTTCATTTTGATTGTAAAAGTGGTGACAACTTAAACTTTGGGATGGAGTATCTAGTTCTAGCAATAGTCAAAGATACTGCAGTTTATTATTTCTAATTCAATGTATTGTTTTGGGGTGTGTCTGTAGTTTTACCTCACATAATGCCATTCTCCGTGGAAGAGGAAGTAATGTCCGGGGAGAGTATTCAGCTGACTTGTCACGTCACTAAGGGTGACCGTCCCCTGAATATCAGGTGGAACTTCCATGGAGAGGAACTTTCCAGTCATCTAGGGATCAGTACTACAAAAATAGGGGACAGGACTAGTTTGTTGAGCATTTCCTCTACAATGGCTGCTCACAGCGGAAATTACACGTGCACTGCATCCAACCGAGCTGGAAATACTAGTTATACGACATCAGTTCACATAAACGGTACTTCTTGGTGGAATTGTACAGATCAGATAGAGTTTGCTAGCTAAGGATGCATGCGATAAGGAGTTTATGGGATTCTGGTAAACAAATATTAGAGGATCAAATTATGACGGTCATGGAATGGTCTAAACTGTATTTAGTTGGGTCTTCACTATTTTCTGTCATCATTCCTCATTCAGAATGCCAGCACAGTCATTCATGGTACATCGTACTCTGTCTCATCTACTACACATTGTGTTCCTTGTACCTATCACCCTGTCGAAATACTGGTCTAGAAAAGTGGTCAGAAAGTATGGTTTTTTAAGATAGTTTATTTATTTAGCTCCATAGGATATATTTTTTAATATCCTCATCAGTTTATTAATTTTTTACTAACTTACACCACCCATCAAAAATAAAAATATATTTTGTACTTAAAGCCTGTCAATTTTTTATGATAAAAACGGTTATTAGTGAAAAACAAGTTCAATAATAATCTTAATTATTTGTTTAGTTCTTCCACATATAATTCCGTTTACCTTGGACGAAGAAGTCAATAACGGTGAGAGTATACAGTTGACTTGCCATGTATCCAAGGGTGACATCCCACTAACCATCCGCTGGAGTTTCCACGGTGAGGCTTTGTCGTCTCATATGGGTATCACAACAACCAAGATCGGTGATCGAACGAGCTTGCTGACTATATCTTCAGCAATGGCAGCCCACAGTGGAAATTACTCTTGTACCGCCATAAACAGGGCTGGCAACACGAGTCATACTGCCACAGTCCATGTCAACGGTACTGATTCAAACTGTAGAAACCTTGGCGCTGACTTGATTTTGGTTCTTAGTTGTTTTTTTTTTTTTTTATCTATTACCTCATACCTTTCATACCACATTAGTCCATAGGGATAGTTTGGAGTATTTAGGTTGTTAGGTTTAGACATTTTACTGTTTGCTCAGGAAGAAACAAAATGAAGAGCTCTGATATTTTTGCAGTTTACTAAATAGGATTGTTGCAATAATTTTATTTTGTGTAGCTGAGTGATTTTGCTGCGTCGAAGGTAAAATTTATTTCTTGTTTAGTTTTCCCTCATATCATCCCGTTCGACCTCGAGGAAGAGGTCAACTCCGGCGAGAGTATTCAGTTGAACTGTCATGTTTCAAAGGGTGACGCACCCTTGAAAATAAGCTGGAATTTTCACGGTGAAGCGTTGTCTTCGCATATGGGCATAACTACGACTAAGCTAGGGGACAGGTCTAGTGTGTTGACTATCGGATCTGCTATGGCCGCTCACAGTGGCAACTACACTTGCACAGCGACCAACGCCGCGGGGTCTACTAGCTACACAGCCCCTGTACATGTGAACGGTACTGGCTCACGCATGCTCATTGAATATAGCATCAAATGGACTCTTTGGTTTTTAACTTTGCTGTAGAGGTATATTAGTGGAACTAACGTAATTTAGTTGAAACTAATCGGTAAAAAGTAAGCTTTAACAGCACATTCATTGTACTTGCTACATTTATATAAAGTTTTTTTTTTTAGTTTTTACATACTTACGATTGTTTACTTTTAAACATTGGTTAAAATCATTAGCATAAAAAAAGTTTGTTTTCTGTGATTTATATTAGTCAATCCTTCTTTGATTTTGATTTTGAACTACCCTAAAGTAGATTTTCCCAGGTGTTAACAAATGTGTACTAGCTTCTAATGTTGAATCTCCCCTAATAGTCGCACCCGTTATCACTCCGATATCCGTCGAGTCCCAGGTATTTGCTGGAGAGACGATTCAGCTCAACTGTTTCATCTCCAGAGGAGATTCTCCTGTCACGATATGATGGTTTCTGAACGGAGAGAAACTGTCGTTGATGGGTCCGCTAATATCTACCACACAAGTAGGATCGAGGACTTCCTTGCTCACTATTAGTGCCGCGACGGCTTGGCACTCAGGCAATTACACATGCCAAGCAGAGAACAGAGCCGGAGTAGCCAATTACACCGTCTCGTTGCTAGTCCACGGTACACAGCAATGCATGCAATGTGCTTTTGTTCAAAAGTGTCCCCTCACCCGTATAGCATGAACTTTTGAGTTATAGGATCCATCAGCTTTTTAAAAGTGGTTTCTGTTTGAATCATTATAAGACACCTTGAGTATTAGGCTAGTTTTAATGTGTAAGATTCCTCTACATTATGCCTTAAAGAGATGATATTACGATAAACACAGCATCAACAACC